AAAACTTTCTTAAGGTCATCTTTTTTTCTCTACTGTAGTATCTTTTCATTTTAATCATTCCTTTTTGTACCTAAGAGATTATTTTTTCCACAGCCTTTTCCAATTTTTTTTTTTTTTTCACTTCTGCTGCTATCCTTTCAGAATGTTCCAGTGCTTGACTTCTAGTTTCCTCTCACTGTGCTCTGGGCTTGTCCTGGGTGGGCTGGAAGTCTGGGGTTGTATTTTCCTTCTGTGTCTTGTCATTTTTTGTTTCCTAATTTTTGTTTTCTTTGTTGCTGCTTGCTAATTTCTTATGGTAGATAGCTTTATCACTAATATCAAGGCTTCCCTAGGAGATGTCTGTTCTTCAGGGATATCTTCTACATACAGGTGGTTCTTTATGTCTATCTCAAGAACCTACCTTCCCTATTGGTGGAGGATCAAAACTTGCTGTTTGGTTCAGAACCCCCTTTGTTTCTGGACTATGGTGATGATTATGACCCAATATAATCAGTGTAAGGGAGAAAAACTGATTATAACATGTATAACATTCAAGCTAAAGCATTTCAGCTAGAAATAGCAACAAGTACTGATGAACTGACCAACTGTGGTAACTATCAACCTGATACCTTTGACCATAGATCAAATTCTACAGTTATGTAATAAAATCCAACATATACCACCAACTAGTACACAGTGATTTTCCCCTTAGTGGACTGATTTTATCCTATCCAGAGGTGGGTAGGGTCAAGAGGGGAAGAGGACAAGATAGATGAATGAAGTCAAATAGAGTAGAAACCTGGATGGCAAAGGATGATCACTCAAGGTTTGAGAAGTTGGAGGACAACAGGAAAGAAAGGATGAAAGAGAAATGGAGTTTTGAAGTGAATCAGGAAATGAGATAGTTTACTCACTTGAAAATATCATAACTTGAAGAGGTAGTTGAAGAAAGAATACAAGTAGAAAAAAACAAAAAGGAAGGTAGTAAGTCTAACAAATAAAGAGAACAACATAAAATATTGAAACCTAACCAAAACAAAGATAAGCACAAAAAAAAACCAATCAGACAGAAAAAGGATAACCAATCAAACAGAAGTTAAAGTAGTAAAGTTCCTCTTGTGTTCACAGGTCTATGGTAGTGTCCAAGTCAGTTCTCAGAAATGTGCTGTGTACTCCAGCCAGGTTTGCTGTAGAGTTTGTGCTGGGTACAGAACTGATCTTCACCTCTGGATGTAGGGGCTGGGACTGGTCTGCTGCTAGTTCTCCAGAGCCCTTTGAATATGGAATGGCGGCCCCACTCACTTCTACTCCATGTGTCTATGTGCTGAAGCACCAGGCTCATTCACCTAATTTACCAACTGCTGGCTCATGGTTGCTTCAGACTATTCCACATTGCTGGTTTCACCAAGGGTTGCATGTGTACCTTGGCCAGGGCCTGGTCTTGATCTTGCTGGTCCCACTGTCAGCATGTGCATCCACACATGGGCCTGGCCTTATCTATCTGGTCCCTTGATTCACCTGCAGGTTTGATTTCTCACTGTTGTTTAGGGCTGCTACTTTTCTAGGCTGCTTGATCCTGCCTGCAGAGTACACCATGTGCTGGACAACTTGGTCCAATTCCCCGCTTGTGGTGTACATAGCACACTGGGCTGGCTGGCTTTGTGTGGTTCCACATTGAGCAATCTTATAAATCATTCTTGACTTTAAAATTGATAGCAGAAGACAATTGATAGCAATCATTTATAAAACAATTCACTGAATTTCAATGTAGATGTAAAAGCACTGTCATGACTTCATTAAACATAGATAAGGTGTATGGGCATAGAAATACATGGCAGAAAACCTTAAGAAACATATCTGCAAGAGCTTATCTCCATTAGTATGCTATGCTCTAATTATTTCATTGTACTTTACATATATAATACAAAGATTAGATGAGGATATTATTCTTTCCCGCTACCTTTTTAATTTAGAATACACATTGCTCCCAAAGAAACTGTCACCTGCAATAAAATAGATGGAGAATCCAGGAAGAGTTAAACTAAGTACACATGGTCCCTTCTCCCATGGTAAATAACCCAGTAAGTCATCTCTCCAGCCTTTCTTATAAACTAAAGGAACAGGCATGGTCTTTGAATATTTATTAAATATGTAGGTAAACTAGATTAAGTCAGGCTTCTCAATAGGCAGCCTTAGCATATTTCATTATTAGAAAACACTTTGGCCTAACATTCAAGACTATACTGAACCTACAGACATATATTCTCGGATTGTCTTCACAAATCGAGTTCTACAGCATGACAGGATCAACTCCATCAAGCAGTTTATTCCCTTTTCCTTGCAATTATTCACTCAGGTTTTCCACAGTTCTTTTTGCAAAAGGTGTGGATATTGCCCCTAAACTCTCCAAATCAGGTTTTAAAATGTCACCTCTGTGATGAGTACAAAATATACCCATTTGGGCCTCTTAATCTTGTATTTTTATTTCAAAGAGATATGCAGTTTTCTCATTATTGTATGCATAGTATGCTTTATCATATTAATTACCTATTACTAGCTGAGTCCACATCACCTCAAGATACTGCACTATCATAGAAGCTCCATGAGTATGGTGGGATTTGTTTATTGCTGTTCTCTAGCCTACAACAGATTCTAGGATATAACAGACACTGAACACCTAAATACTGAACAAATATGCTAGGGATCCACTACATTTAAGTGTTCACAGTGTATGAGATACTATTAAGCAAATACTACTAAGAATTTAATATTTGTGTACTGTTTAGATTTTTCCAAGCACTCTCATTTATTCCTTCCAATGATCCTATGAAATAGATATTATTTTCACTTTCATATGAAAACTGGAGGTCAGAAAAGTTAAACAATTTGCTGTTTTCACATCTAGTGTTAAGAGTCTGTCCTAAGAGGTACTCTAAGTACAAAGTTCCTTGATATATTTTTTGCAACAAGGTCAACATTTCACTAAGTGCCTTGTTATAATTTGGATCTAAAAATGTACCTGAAAGCTCAGTGTGGTGATGCATGCCTGTCTGTAATCCCAGCATGTGGGAGACTCAGGCAGAAGAAGTGCCTTGAGTTCAAAGTTGGACTGGGTTACATAGTAAGTTCAAGGCTAGCCTGAAGTACATACCTAGTAAGACCCTGCCTCAAAAAACAGAGAGAGACAGAGAGATAGAGACAGAGAGACAGGCACAGGACAGAGGACAGAAAGAAGGAATGGAGGGAGGGAAGGAAGAAGAGGGCAGATGAGAAGGAAAGGAAAAAGGGAGAAGGAAAAAGGAAAAGACAGAGACAAAGAATGAAATTTTAAAAATGCTATGTACTAGGGGCTTAGTGGCCAACTGAGGACCTTTTAAAAAATGACTTTCTCCTTTGCTCAGCCATGCCCCATCTACCATGATGTTCTCCATCACCACAGACCTACAACAATGGAGCCAGCCAACCATGAACTGAAACCATGAGCCAAAATGAAAATTTCTGCTGTTATTCTCAAGTATTTTGTTATAGCAACACAAGGCTGACTAAACATACCTCTTTCACTCCAATAACCTCTATTATTTTATTGTGCAAGATGAAAAATGGGAATACTTTGGATGTCACATGAACTTTAAAACTTGTCTTAGTTATTTCTTTATTAATGTCACGATACCTGATGCCGCCGACTTCTTAAAGGAGAGATTTATTTTGGTTCACATTTCAGTCCATAGCTTACTCCAAAGAAAAAACAGCATGGCGGAGGGGCACGCAAGAGGAAAGCTACTCACCTCATGGCAAGTAGGAAGAGAGGGAAAGAGGGAGTTGGGGAGGGAGATCTACCCCTCTAGGCTAAGTCCCTGTCACTCACCTCTTCCAACCAGGCCCCATCTAACAGCACATTTCCCAATAATTCCACCAAAGAGTACAGCATACCCATAATTCAATCACCTCCCAAAATCCCCAACCATGATCACATGAGGCTTGGCGGGGGCGGGGGGCATCTAGATATAAACTGTAACACATCCAAAGGTATCAATCTGTTTCAATATAATCCATGGTCCATTTGAATTAAAAGTCTATTAAACATGCAGATTCTTGAGCTCTTACAAAATTACTTCTCTATTATTCAGAAGGGGGGCTGTCAGGGACTCTTTAAACAGGTACCACCATATACACACAAAAGCTCAAGATCTCCTGGACTTAATTATCACTTCTTAGTTCTTATATTATAAATATCGGGGTACAGTTCTTATTTTAAAATCTTGCCAAGGAACTGTTATGAACTCCACTCTGCACAATAACTTGTCTTTTCCCAGGTCTTTACAATTTTAACTTCTGTCTCAAACCTTTTAAATTGATTTATAGCTACGGGTATGTTCAAACACAATTTCACCAGCAAGTCTTCAATGATCATGCTCTTCTTAAATGCCTTTGCACTGGATCTTTAACTGTTATATACTATGCCATATAAAATTGTTACCCACAAGAATATAAGCTCCTCTTGGACAGCAAGAACTGTACCTCATAGATCTTAGGATGCCATCATTAATGCTATTAAGCAAATATTCATTATCAGTAAAGGACAATGAACTGCTTCCACTGAATTAGTAGAAACAAATTAGAAGATAAAAGGACTGATGGAAACTAAGTGGCTTAGGCACTATCACTTTCTATGAAGAAACACATGAACAGTATTTGGCAGAGGCAAACAGCAGGCACTCCATGTTTGCTGAGTAGAAAAATACTGACATTTAAATACAAGTTACTCTCCATAATATGTATGTGTTTCATTATAGTATAAACTTATTTCTGTCATTTTTTTTAATAATTTAAAAGACTATACTAAACACACATTCATCTTGAGACTTTTGCTATGCAGAGGGCAGTAATAAGAAACTATCATACTCTACACTCAATTTAGTATTCTTCAATTTACTACCCATTATAAAATTCACTAATATGTCAGTATATTTTTGATCATTGTTACCTTAGTGTTGTTAGTATCAGAAACAACAATATCTGAATAACTTAATAGAATTTCATTTAATAAGTATATTTAAAGTTCATCTCTTCCAAAAACAGCATTTAATTACATTCAAATTGTATTCATTTTACCAATAAACCCATCATTTATATACAGGGATAAATATTAGAAAACAGATTAAAATTAAACAAGTTTAATTTTAAAAAGTCCTTCCAAATTTTGAACACTGTAAACTACTAAATGTACACTTTTTCTAAAAAAAGTATACATTATCAGGAAAATACAAGTTACTCTAATAAGAAAAAAATATAATACATACAATGGAACATATTTCACATAATTAACTGAATTTATAGGTATTTCACACATTAACTGAATTTATAGGTATATCTCAAAGTATTTTTAAAAAGCTAGTTACTAATACAGGCAAAATTCACAGCTGACATTCTAAATTAACATAGCAATATACATTGTTTACTCAGAAAAAGTAGAGGGTTCTGAAGATTTTATGTTGACTCATAATTTTTCACTTCTTTATTCTCAAATGGAGAACCACAGAACTTAAGCATTTTCTTTTTGGTCTTTAAATTGGATTCATGTTCTTTTAATAATAATGACTCAAATATATCATTACAAATATATCAAACCTGTTCAATATTTAGATCTCAGTAAGGAAGATATTTCATTCACTTTTCCTGTACTTCTATTTTCCCTTTAAAAAGTCTCCAGGAAAACTTCATAAACAGTATCAAGCCAAATAACCCTGAGAAGGCCAAGTAATATATAACTTGACATTAGTACAGGTTTGCACAAAAAAGAAACAAGGAAAAAATTATGCCCTATTTATTAAATCATAAATGTAAAAAAAGAGAACTCGTATTTGAGAACATAAGTAAAGAAAAAGCAATGTAAAAGAAATAAAAAAAGAAATTTGGAACTGTGGCCTTTTTGTGGTTTAGTTTCAAGAATACATAGCAACCAAGCTATCAATAACTTTTTCTGAGCATTATTTAAAACTTGTACGAATTTGTTTTTAACTTTTATCTAAATCAAGTTTCTGTAACCAAAATAAAAAGGGCATAATTACTGTGCTCATATAAGAGATGTGTGAAGTTTGCTAAATGGATGGAAAAAAAGAAAGGGTACGGTATACATCAAGTGAAAAAGGCAGGACCAGGAATAAAACTAAGCACTTGATCTGATCAAAAGCAGGGAGAAATTCTGCCTTTTTTTGTTTTTTTTTTTTCCAGATTCTACTACATTTTATAATCACACCAAAAGAACATCTCTCCTTTTATCTTTAATGTATTTTAGATTAAAAACGATAAAATGAATAGAACTTAACACACTATTTTTAAAAGGGATATTTTTAGAATTTGGTTGATGGTTGTATTTGCTAGTATTTCTTAAAGAGTTGACTCTTCTAAAATGCTGCTCAGATGTATTGATACATTCAGGCCTTTCCTGCATTACAGCTGTAAAAGTTGTAAGCCGGGATATAGCTCAGCGGCTCAAGGACCTATCTGGTAAGCACAAGGTTCTAAGTTCAATTCAGGGTAGCAAAAAAAAAAGTTGTAAATCAGGGTTTTAAGGAAACGTTTAACTTCAAATTAAGTTTGTTTAAAATATATTGCAGTTATGTCAAATAATAAACTATTACTATTTTATTCCTTATGAACATATTATTAACAAACATTACATAGGAATCCCTTATGATCACTACAAAGATTTAAATGATCCTTTTCTCTTACATATAAATACGGTGGTGACTCTGAAGCAACATTCTAAATGAGAAAAGGCCATTCAGTGATATAAAACCCTATTTCAATTTTTGGAAGTCAGTGCATTCAATAGTTATAATAGGCATGATTTCTTCCACAGCTGAGTTCTAAAAGAGGAAAAAGAAAAAAAACATAAATAATATGAAAGTCATCTTAATGATAATAAATATTGCCATTACTCAAAGTCAAGTAAGGTACAACCTGAGTGTCAATCAGTTGTGGACTTTTCTCCCAATGGAAGGCGTTCCCATAACTGGAGCAACTGTTCACCAACCTGAGGTTCTAGTTCCTGGATAAAAGTCAAAATAAAGATAAAAAGAACTGGATTAAAAATTTATCTAATCAGCAAAATCCATACTAATAAAAATGTTTTAAAAATCACTTTACATTTATTTTTACCAGAACATGCTAAAATTATATGGTACACATTGTTCTAAATCTTTGGTAAATTTAGGGTGAATAAAGTTGACTTTCTGAATAAGACTGTAGTTAATGTGCAAATATCTTAACTTTTATTACAAATGGCAACAGATTTCCATGCTGTCCTTCTAAATTTTTGTTTATCTGGAAACAGTAGATTTTGTATTAAATGAGAACAGCAAAAGCATTTAATCTGAATTTCCAACGATTTATTGTAAAACTTACCATATTATATGTTTTATGTTTTTTTCCACCAAGACTATCTTAAGTGACAACATATTCTAATCTAAGAAATTACTTAAACTTATTTCTAGTCATTATTATAAAATAAAAATATTACTGTACAAATGAAAAGAATTCCATTTTATAGTTTTCCTGTGGCGTAATACCTCTGATGAGTACTTAAAAAGGACCTGAATGCTTTTCCCATGGTGATGTGAAGTAATCTAAACTGGTTCAGATAAATAACTATTTGACCTTAGGCAAAATTAACATGTAAGTCTATTTTGTCCTACATAAAATTGGACTAATAACTTATTTTATTTATAGGAACTAAATTATATAATTAGCACTGTATCTTAGCACTGTGTGTTAAGTTCCAGTATTACACTAGTCTAAAATACACATAAGTAGTATCACAAAAGCAAAGTAAAATAAAATAAAAATAAAGCAAGCTACTAGAATATAAAAAAGTTGTTATTTACATAATTAGTTAAAATGATAAGAAAGTTAAATATTGTTTCATTTTGAGAATTTTGTCCAATTACCTTATAACTATACTAAGTTTTGATCATACAGTAAAGTAACCACCATGAAGCAACTTATGAAAGATTGATTACATGCAACAACAGCAAGAAACACAATTTAGCAAATGCTAAAAGAGCGGTAAGACACATTCGCGAGTATACTTTTATCAAAATCACTGTTTCCATGCACATATGAAATATATAATTTGTGGGTTTTTCCTCTAAGTACTGAATAATATCAAAAGAAAATAAAATCCAAAGGAAAAGGAAAAAAACATAAATACCAGTGTATACCTGCCCATCTCTGCTTATCTGCACTTTCTTGTTGTCATTCCAAGGATTAAGTAAATGATGTGCAAACTGAAAGGGAAGACTTTCTTTTCGTATCCACTCCACCTTAAATACTCCACCTAGTCCAGCTGAGCCCCAGTCTTGGCTCTTCTCCCTTCCTATCTCAGAAGACATCCTTGAAAAGCCCTGTAAGTAAAATGAAGGAAAGGCGTAAAGATGAGAATATTAAAATATGTAAGTTTACCTAATAATGCTGTTTCCTAAAAAAAACAGAAAAAGCTATGTAATTTTTATAAAAAGATTTATTCTCACATTTTAGAGGAAAGACCAATTCTCTAATATAATTTCAAATGTTAAGAGTCTCTAATGCAGAGCTGGGGATTTAGCTCAGCGGCAAAAGCGCCTGTCTGGCAAGCGCAAGGTCGTGAGTTCGGTTCCCGGTACCAGAGAAAAAC